AGCGTTAGCAGAGGAGGAGAGAGTGGAGGCATGGCAGACTAGGAGGGCACCCTAATGTGCGTGGTGGTGCCAGATAGCAACAGTGGTGAACTTCCTGCAAGGCTGGCCCAGTACTGCAGGTCACCTGTTGGCACTGTGGGGAAGAGGGCCCTCCCCTGCCCGGAATTTGCCCCAGGGATGTCAGGAAGCGAGTGACGGGCAGCGAGAAGGATGTTGCCCTTTTCCAACAACTCACCACAGACCAACGACTGTGCTGGGGCGACCCACCCCATTTGGAAAGTTGGCAGCATACGCAGACCCTTCCAACCTTGCATCATTGCTGGAGTTTGCTGTCGCACCCTGATTGACTGTAGTCTGCATCATCAAGGGGAGCTATTGCCAGGGACGGAGATGCTGGAGGAGATTGGAGAGATGGTTCCAATGCAGGACCGTCGGCATCACCAGGTCCAGCTGGGGGGCATGATAGTGTGCCACGAATTTTGGCTCACCCTATTCGAGATGACTGCATTGTTGGGATGGACTTCCTTGCTTGCAATAAGACTGTTCTTGATCTGCAGCACAACAGTGTGACCCTGTGAGGAAGCAAAGTTTGCCTGGCCACTACAGAGCCACTCAGCTTGAGGGAGGTGCAGTCACCCCACAACAGGTCAGTTCGTCCTCAGCTTTCTGGTCTGCCTGCAGGTTAGCCCTCCAAGTCTACATAAGTGGCCAAGCAGGGCGACAGCTTCTCGTGGCACAGTCCATGCCCCTGCCAGGGAGGGATTTCAGTGTGCCAGCTGCAGTGACTCATGGTGCGACCAGCAGGAGTAGCAGGCTGAGGTTGCAGAGATGGTGCTGCTGGGTCATGAGGAGTGCCAGGAACTTGACGAGGACATGGAGCAGGGGTGGTACAAGTTGGAGTGGCTGCACAGTGAGCTGGCAAGCAGGAAGCAGCAGCGCGACCTTGATAAGTAGAAGGCTGAGGCCATGGCAGCCACTGTCGTTGACTAAGAGTAAGCGTGCCACACTGTGGAGGCCCAGCTGGCTGTGGAACACTGTGAACTGGAGCAGTGAGAACGGCAGCAGGGGAAACAGGCTGGCAGTCAGCAGTGGCCCACCTCAAAGTCACGTAAGTCCAAGGGCTGACCCCTGGGGGGACCGGCATTGCTAGCTCCTGCTAGCAGCCTGGCTCCGCCAACAGGCCCCAGCTTCCCAGTCATATACAAGAACTGGTAATGAGTGGCTGCTACGGGTGCCAGAGAGGGTGCACCAGCGTCTGCCACCAGACCTTTTTGACTTCATCAAGTGATGAGCCTTCCTACTGTTTGAATAGTGGGATTCTTGGAACATGAACCCCTCAAGGAGATGGGACTGGTCATAAGGGGGGTGGAACTGGTCATAAGGGCGTCACCGGTTTGCCTGCCTTGGGGGGGGGGGGGGGGACTTGTAGCATCGGCAAGTTGCCTCTCACTAACAGATGTAATTTACATGTTCCCAGTGCATTCTGGGCAGTGGGTTGTAAAATAGCCCCTGTACAGTGTCACTGGTAATGACTGTGCCATGTTCTGTGCGCTGCATGTTCCCTGCTGGTAATGTCATTGGCACTGTGGCAACATGGTGGCGTAGTGGTTAGCATTGTTGCCTCAGACCTTTGAGATCAGGGTTTCAGTCTCTGCCAGGGTTCCATGTGTGTGGAGTTTGCATGTTCTCCCTGTGTCATTGTGGGGGTTCCTCCAATTACTCCATTTCCCCCCCCCCCCATGGTTCAAAAACATGCTGAGGCTTCTTGGAGTTACCTAATTGCCCATAGATGTGTGTGGGTGTGAGTGCGTCCTGCAATGGGTTGGTGCCCCATCCTGGGTTGTTCCCTGCCTTGTGCCCATAGCTTGTGGGATAGGCTCCGGACCCCCTGCGACTCTGAACAGGACAAGCGGTTTCAGAAAATGGATGGATGGATATCAAAATGAAGGAAACCTACTTTTCTTAAACATTGTAAATTTATTTTTCAACACAGTCCACATTTACTGCTACACAGTTTTCCAAACAGTCTATCCATTTTTTCATTCCATCCATGAAGAAAGTCTCTGGTTGGTTTCTTATCCATTTGTGCACAGCAGCTTCAACTTCTTCACCATCTGAGGAAAAATGTGTAAAAACGTCTCCTTCGATTGTGGGAATTATCAGAAGTTGGACAGTCCCAAGTCTGGGCTGTAAGGAGACCATGGAACAATTGTGAATTTCAGGCTTGTAACTGTTTTCTTTATTTGTGCACTGTTATGCGGCCTTGCATTGTCTTGATGCAAAGTTTTTCTTTCAGGTCTGATTCTGCAGATGTGTTGCTTAAGTGCTTATGAGGTTTCACAATACCTTTCGTAATTCACCGTTCCTTTAGCGGGAAATTATCAGTAAATCACACCCCTTTCCAATGAATTTCAACTGCCAAGCAACCTTCTAGTATGAACAACTCTATTACTGAACACTGCTTTATATATAACATGGATGTAGCACTCATTACTAATGAGCACTACTGCTTAAGAGCTTTGAACGCTGAGCTGAAAACAAGCTCATTTACTCTGCACAATATCGGCTACCCAACGCATAAGCAAACTTTTTTTCCCACTTCCAGAGATGCAACGTGGTAGGAGACCTTACATATGAAACAGCCCTTGTACATACGCACATTCGTACACATGCACACAAAACTGTTCATATGTGCGTTTGATAAATGAGACGCCTGGTTTTCTGGTCACTGCTTCTCCAAACATTGTCCTTGTATCACTATCAGATTTAACAGAAAAACTGAAGTTTTTTTTATTTTTTAACTGCAGGTAGTATGACATTATAATTACTATACACTCATACTATGAGCCAGCAATGTGCACTTTGAGTGCCAAGATGACCGTCATGTCGCCATGCAAGCAGATGAAGGGGACAGAGGCCACTGGGGAGGCTGCTTTAGGACAGGGGGGGTGGGCTATGGTGATGGTGCTCCCAAAATCCAGGACAGCAATCCATCCATCCATCCATTGTCCAACCCGCTTATCCTACTGGGTCGCGGGGGGTCCGGAGCCTATCCCGGAAGCAATGAGCACGAGGCAGGGAACAAGGACAGCAATCATGGGGTAATATTGCAGGTGGACTGTGTAGGTGAAGTGTCCGGCTAATTTGTGTCACTGGATCACAACGCTAACCCTAACCCTAACCCTAACCCCTAAATCTAACCCTTAACCCTAAATGTTAACCTTAAGCCTAACCCCTAACCCTAACTTTGGGCCCGTATTGGGGCTAGTGGGTAAGTGCTCATCCTACAGACCAGGGCTGCTTCAGATCTACTGTGGCTCCCCCAAGTTGTCTTCCTCCAGGCCCGTTTTTGATGGTCTGCACGGTCTTGGTCTAGGACAAGGGTATTCAAATCATGGTTGTCAAGGTCTGAGCACTGCTGATTTTCCAGCCTTCCCTTGCCCGTGAGCTGGACGTGAAGCTACTATGGCCAATCACAATCAGCAATTATTAAACTAACTACCTGGGAGAACTGACAATAAAGCCTGGATTTGGAATTGAGGTCCAGATTTGAAGATCTCTGGTCTAGGACCTCAGATGTTGCAACTGGGTTTAAAGCATCTGCTGAGCACTTTCCATATGTCCTGGAGGAGGGAGTGCAGTAAATTATCCAGGGCTGCAACCTACTGTGGAATGTGGGACTTGGGTTGGAGCCAGTGCTGGGCCAGCAGGTACCGTTTGCCACATCTGGTGGTGGGTAGACTGATCAGTGACCTGTACTACGAAGCGGGGTTACTGGCTTATCGGGGTAACTTGTCGGATTTAAGGTACCCCCGTTTAAATGGACTTCATATTTGTTCACTTACATTTTGCCCAGACTACCTTAAATCCGACAAGTTACCGCGATAAGCCAGTAACCCCACTTCATAGTACAGGCCACAGGGGAGTATCTCTAACCAGAGGTGTGACCAGAATGTCATTTGGCTTATTTGGGGGGGCAAAAAAACTGCAAAATGGGTGGAAAAACATTTTTAATCAATCTATTTTATCCATATCTGTAGGTGTGGACTGATAATAATAATAATAATAATAATAAATAGTGGTTCCTGGTTACTCTCACGTCCTGTCTCAGTCACAGCAACAGGAGACAGACCTAATTTCAAAAATACCAGTCACATTTTACAAAAAATGTAACTGACAACATAATAGATGATATAGGGATGAACAGTATAAAAATAATGTGTTTTTGGAACATTGAAGCATGTAAATCTATTCTATTAGGCCAGAAAAGTAAAATTATAAACTGTGAAAATGAGCATAGTAGGCATTCTTTAAAAAATAAATTTAATTCAAGTGGTATCCCACTAAAATGCGTGTGAATGAAAGACAGAGTGTAAGTGGGAATGACTGGTGAAAGGGGGAGAGTAGGGGTGGGATATATGACCTAAAATTATTATCACAGTATTTTTCACTTTTTGCACGGTAACGGTATTAAAACTTTTTCCAAGTTTTAGGAGTAGCAGCATATCGTGTCTCTTTCCATAAATAAAAAAAATAAATCATGATATATTAAGTACACTTTAATTGGATTTACAGTTGGGTATATGCTGTCTTATTCGAAAAGATAGTTATAAAAAGTGACATAGCTAATGTTTTCTCATTTGTTTTATAATTGTCGGAGTAACAATGCAAACAGAAGGACAAACCCCTTCAGCGGAAAACAGTGCATTTTAATTATCATTTCAAATAAAATGCCGGTTGCCAACTTTGGTCAGCTGACTGGAGTGACATTTTCAACTAGAGACAAGTCTACACACATTTACATGTATGTAACAGCTTTATTACCTTGTAAATAGTTTTATGACTTCTAAAGCACTGGGTGCTTTTGATGGAGCTAATTTTAGCTTTACCATGGAATAATATATATTTGCCAAAAGATTTTTTGCGTGAGCGTGTGAGTCTGAAAGCATGTCACGGCAGATGCGTGAGTGTGGCAACCCTGAAAATGGACATTTTTAATTTTGTTTCACCAGAGTTGATTTGTACAAAAAAAAATAACATTACTTTATACAGCTGTTAAAAACATAAACTTTGACAAATATGAAATCACCAATAAACTGTCTATAGGCCTGTCGAGATCTTGTGATGGAGGACGTACATTTGCAGTCCCCGACGTGGATGCAAAGGCGCTCTGCTCCGTGTTGGTAGCAGCAGTGCTGGGCTCAACAGTGGATTCAGAAAAATGCGCTGCGGCAGGCGTTTGTGCTATTTAATGAGCCACCTATGCATTGCTTTTTTTTTGTGTTACCTAACCAGTTAATAAAACTGTTTGTATCACAATGATTGTGTACCTTTTTACAAGACAACTGCAGTAACTAGACTAGCGATTTAACTAGCTAGCAGCCAATACAGTAACTAGCAGGCAAGCACAAGCAGCCTGCTGTAACTACTGGACTTAGCTGACGATTAACGTGATCTTTAACAAATCAAGTAAATGCTCAGAAGAAATGTGCAAACTCAACTGAATCTGCAGGACTATTAGAAAATGTATAAGAACTAGAGAATGAGGAAGAATCAAAGTTATGAGCTGTTTTAATTTGATTGAAGAAGGCTGCCAACAGGTTCAAACTTTACTGCATGGGCATGCAGTGAACTGTGCGTGGTGCAAATGGTGCTTTCCTAGTTGAGTGGAGGAGGCACTAACTGACACGCCCCTACTCAAACGGGCCAATTGGAAAGCAGTGCAGTTCTGATGATTGTTCTGTAACCTAAAGGAGAAGAGTAAGGTGGGAAAATGCAGATAGATAAACTTTGCAGATAGATGGCTTTAGTTATTCCACCTGAGTCTTGAGGGACTCTGTGGAAATACAAGACAATACTGGAGTAGTGATGTAACCGGCTCTTCGAAGTGAACAATCGGAGCCTGCCTGGGGGCTGGAGCTGCTCTGTGTTTTTTTTCTCTAATTGTTTCTGTTCAAGCCGCACGTGATTGGTCAGCTACATGATGTGTGGTGGAGTCTGTGTATGTGCACTGAGCAGGAGGGGGAGAAGCGGGGGTTACGGACACAGCACACACGCTCGGAGAGAGAGAGAGAGTTCATCAACTGCGGTAAGCTAAATGTATTATTTTTTCTCCAGTTTACATTGGACGAAGAGAGCAGGACAAGCCCTAGACTGCTGAAATATGCCGCAGTTCAGGTATAAAATCAACCATCCCGGACTATTCCCTCTTCCAGGCAAAACCCCACAGTTCAGTGGCAGCATCTCCAGGTGCCTGCATTCTCCACCACTGTCACCAGCAATAAGGCTCTGGAGATAGAGATGCAGGAATATCCCTCATCAGGGAAAGTTATAGGAGGGAAGAGGGGAGGTGTGTGGCTCAAGGCCTGAGCCTCAGCAGAATAACCACACACCCATGGGCCCTTGAGCAAAGCCTTTAACCCCCAGCTCTACAGGCACTGTAGGTGGCTGCTGTCATCTGTATGTGTCAAGGACATCAGCATGGGGTTGGCAAAAAGAGAATTTCCCCACAGGGATTAATAAAGTATCACTCATTAATTTCAGTAGCACAAAGACAGAAAACAATAGATACCTGCCCTCTTTTCAGGGCTTCTCTTCTCTTCCCTTCACCCGGGCTTCTCTGCATGGGCTTTAGGCTTCAGCAAAGGGGACTGAATGGGGCAATCGAGAGCTGCCAGCTGTGCCCTGTTGTCACCCCACTGTCATGATCAGGATGCCAACCTTCAAAACAGTTCCTGTCTGGTTGAAGATACACATCACATGCTTTGCCCTTCCAAGCAGTTTTTGTATGTATAATACTGTTGTAGCGTCGGTGAAATGGCTCCACTATGTGGAGCCTATTAACATGCCCGGCATGCTTGCGAGCTATGTACAGTACATAGCTCTGTTTGTTTTCCGTGTTGTAAATACTTGGGCTGTGTCTTTGGTTCATGTAAGTGTGTTTACCTGTGTGTGCCCCAATCTGTGCCAGTTACTCACGTGTTTCTGTGGTCTCTGTAAGTAGTTATCATCTGTGTACTGTACAGTCCAGCTTCAGACCTTGTGTTTCTCAGTTTTATGCAATAGGAGTGTGGTTGATATTTCTGTGCAGCGCCTTTATGGGCTACAAAAAAGCTGCTTTGTTCGGAAACTGTCATTTTTAGTTTTGTTTCTGCCGCTGCCATGCTTCAGTTTGCTAAATGCCACAATGGAATAATGAAAAAATATATTTATATTTTACTGCTGAACTGGGGCACATGTTCCAAAAGCTCCCATTACCAAATTAGATTCAATTATGTGGTTCTAAATGCGTAAGTCGCTAATGTAATTAGCAACTATGCTTTTGGGAAACATACCCCAGTCCATTGCATCATTTATGTGAATTACACAAAAATTTTTACAGCAAAAGTTTATATTTTAAATAAACATTATTTTCAACAAATACAATCAATACTATTTTAAGCTATCTTACAACATGTATTTTAAGTTAAATAAAACGATTGCTTGTAAAACAATCTCAAAAATTTATTGAAAAACTAGAACAACCTAGTTATCAACAGTTTGCATATTTTTATAGACAAGATTTTACAGTAGTGATCAAAATTAGAAAACAAGTGACATTTTGCAATTTACAAAGTCACTACTTACCCGAATTTGCAGTTACCCATGAATAGAAGCAATGCATGTTTCACCGCATATCCTCAGTGAAAACTCTCTCACATCACAAAATAAAAGGTTGCAGCTCCTCAATCAGTGTAATCAAAACCCAGGCATGTGCTCTTGTTTATGGGAGTTTTCCCCAGTGTAAGGGGTATGAAATAGTGGAAAAGGAAATGGGGAAACAAAGTACTATTATTATTATCTTTTTTTTTTGTATAGTCTTTATTTCTTTACACGCCACTCCCATAGAAATAAACTGGAGCTGGTTTGGATAAGATGTGAGATCTTGTTTCTCTCCTCATCGTTTCCCAGTATTTCTTCCGGGTTCACAGTGTCACCAGGCCTGTGCACCGAGTGTTGCCGGTTCAGAATCCCCTAGACCTGAGGCCGGTAACATTTTGGGGGCTCGTCCGGGATCGCGGCGCGACCTTGTGGGGACAGCAGGGATTGCGACGACCAGAACGAGTGTTCATCATCCCTGGAGGGCTGCAGCTTGGAGCATCATCCAGAGGGAGGAGCGCGTTCGGGCGTGATGGCACAGAGGTTAGTCAGAGAATGGAGCAGACTTTGCCTGGATGGGGCCTCGCAGGGCGGCACGTCAGCTGCTGGGGCTGGGGCCTTGCAGGGTGGGCACCATGGGGACTGGCTCCTCGGGAGTGGGCACCATGGGGACTGGCTCCTCAGGAGGCAGCGCGTTAGCCGCCGGGTCGGGACCCTCCGAGGGTGCCACATTGGGCGCCAGAACGGGAACCTCGGGTGCGGGGACCTCAGGCGCCGGAATGGGAACCTCGGGGGCGAGAACCTCCAGAGGCAGTGCAGGAGCCATCGGGCCAGGAACCACGGAGGGCACTGCAGCGGCCACCGGGTCAAGAACCTTGGGCGGCGGTGCAGCAGGAACAATGGGCACACGTAGAACCTTGGGGGGCGGCGCTGCAGGAACCTCGGGCGGTGGCACAGGAACCTCCGGGGGCGCAGCCAGAACGGGAGGTGCAGGAACTTCCGGGGGCGCAGCTGGAGCCGCCGGGTCAGGAACATCAGGGGGCTGAGCAGGAACTGGAACCACAGGGGATGAAGCAGGAACTGGAACCATGGAGGGCAAAGCAGGAACTGAAACCACAGGGGGCAGAGCAGGAACTGGAACCATGGGGGGCGGCGTGTCGGCCACCGGGACAGGAACCTTGGAGGGCGGCGTGTTGACTGCCGGGACGGGAACCGGAACCTCAAAGGGCGGTGCTGGAGCCACGGGACAGGAACCACAGGGGCAGGAACTGCGGCTCGGGGGAGGCGGGCACGGCATCTCCTGCTGAGGAAGCCTGCTCCATCCTCAAGTGGAGCAGCCTACTCAGTATCTCCTCCACCTTCTCCAGCTCATGGGGTGGGGACGCTGGAGGGACAGCAGCAAACTCCCTCTGCAGGAGCATGGCAGCCCCTGAAGAGGCTTGCACTACGGGTTCCGCCACTACCTGCCAGTAAAGGCCCTGGAGGGTAAAAAACCGTCAGGCCAGGGTCTAAGGTGTAGCCAACGGCGAAGCTGCAGGCAAATGAGCCTCGGGCGCAGGAACCATGGGGGACAGAGCCAGGGTTTGCACCTTGGTAGCAGGCGCTGTCCCTTTAAGGATCATGGGGACCTGCAGGATGGCATCCCCTGGCACCTATCCGTATACCTCGAAAGGCGATGGTGACGTCTGGCAGACGAGCGTCGGGCAGCTGCAGGGACGCAGCGGCGATGTGGGGTTTGTGCTTCCGCTTAGGTGAAGTGGCGGGCGGCTGAAGTAAAGTGGCGGCGGTGATTTCAGGCGCGAACACTGCTGGATTGAGGATCGGGAGGGGCTCCTCCCGACACGCAGCAGGGCAGGCAGCGGAGACCGAGATGACCCTTAGGAAGAGCTCCGGCATCTCCTGTCTTCGGTTCTTCCTCTTTGTCTTTTTCCTTGCTGTCCGGTAGTACATCGCAGCCTTCAGGTGTCAATCGCCAGTCGGCATCCCCCCAGTACAGGCGAGGATCACAGAACACATAGTTCTCCGAGATCAGCCTCGGGACACAGGCCATCTCGTCGTCTGGCAGGCGTGTTGGCGGATTGCCAGGCTTTTCTTTCACGAGTCCGGTCATTCTGTCGCGGCTGTATGCTTGGGCGTGGAGCGGGGAAGCAGGACAGAAGCGGTAGTATGGTAATCGTGGGATTTATTATGGAAAAACAAACGAGGCAACACTACAGATGGACGTTAGACTTCAATGACCGGACTGGGGAAAACATATTTAACGCAGACTTAAATGCTTTGAGCTAATGACAGCAATAGGAAACAGCTGATAAACACGGGGAATCCACACAAGGTTAACGAGGGGGGCGTGGCACACGGAAGGAGCGGACGATCAGGGCAGGACATTCATAATGCATTCATAGAAAATTAATAAGCAGCATGCAAGTACACCTTAACATCATAACATCCCTTAATTTAACAGCTTTAATATACATTAATAACAAACATTACATGAATATACAATTATTATAATGTTTGTTATTATTATATAATGTTTGTTATTAATGTATATTACAGCTGTTAAGGGATGTTAGGATGTTAAGGTATACATACATGATGTTTATGAATGTTTTATGAATACTTAATGAATACATTATGAAGGTGTACTGAACGTTTTAGGAATGCAATATAAAAGCATTATGAAGGTTCAGTTAATGTAAAGCGTTACCAAATGATTCTATGACAAAAACTCGCTGAGCTTTTTAAACGGTCTGGACCGACGAGTCCAGAAGGCTAATGCTAACGGTGAGCTGACTATGGTTACCACTGCTGTGTGTGGTGCTGATTAGCCCATGGTGTGGAGTGACTGGGTTGGAGCCGGCTGTCACATCACCTCTGCAACTGTACTCAGCATTAACCATCAGTTACAGAATGGTAGATCCGTAGTGTGTGTGTGAAATTTTTGGGGTATTTGAGAAATTTAAACATTCAATACCCAAGAAGGTTCATCTATAACAGGCTGATATAAAGCATATAAGACTTTCAGTTCTACACGAATGCTTATCAGTCTGCTTTATCTGAATACAAATGAAGAAAAAATAAACAAGTCATCATCCACCCTTCCATCCATCCTGTGTCACAGGGACTCAGTAAACTGTATTCAAATAACCAACAAAAAAAAACTACACATGCATAGTGTGAGGATGGGGTCTGAACCCTCACCACAGCCTCACCACCCTCACCCAGTCTGCTTCACCTGAATACTGGATGCTGCGGTTGATTAAGCGTTATAGTGGCTACTTCGACCTGCGTGATCCGGTACCTCATTGTGAAGTATGAGTCCTCAGTTGGAACTAGCCGATCATTTACTCTCCCTGCTTCATGGATCTGCCTGAATAACCTTCCCATTTTTCAGCCCTCTAATTGTGCGATCCTCTTCTTCTCTTGGAGTGAGTGTGTGTATCACTTTCCTGGTGTCTGCATGTATGATTCCCTTACCCTTCACCCCCACAATAGATCTACTGGCCTTTTGAGCCTTGCTACTGTACCTGACTATGACTCCTGCCTTTTGCCATTAAAATCTGGTTGCTCTGCATTTGGATTCTTGTCTCCCAAGTGCTGTTGTTACACATAGGACATTCATTGACAAGAAAATAGTCTGGATCTGAAAATGATTTATTTCAGGCAACTATATGAACTAGATATTTCTTAGGAATTGAATGGTAAAAGCATGTGCAAACTTGATTTTTACATTATAACAAAAAGCAATAGCATTTGCAGATGAGCTACAACTTTGTTATGTCTTTAGAATTATGTCAGTGGCTCTTTTTGCCCTGAATGACAACCTCATATGGTCATTCAGTGGGCAGAGCTATAGTCTCACATCTGTGTTTGGCTCCCATGCTTAGTCTTTGTGTGCAGTATTTGTGTTCTAGATTCTTGGAACAATAGTCCTATTCATCACTCGTGAATAAAAAAAACCAGAATGACACAATGTAAGGTCCAGCATTTGATTTTGCTTTATTTTTTTGGCTGGCTCTCTCATTTGGTTAAAGAACTGGAGGTGGCGGAGGAACTGGAGCTCACCACCTTTCCGTCCACCACCTCCTCCACAACTGTCACCACCTTGCGTGTTGTGGTTGTTGATGAGCTGAAAAATAAAGAAATATGATCATGAGTTCACATTGTCCCAGTTAAGGATAAGCAATTATGGCAGATAGGTACATTATAGAAGTTTATAATATGTATAATTGAAATAATTAAAAAGTAATTTATTAAAAAATATTCTGTGAAATTATATTCCATTGGGTATGATTCTCTGTGATATTCATTAAGATTCACTGTACGTTCCTTTGGACAAAAGTGCAAAGAAACTTACCAGCTTGTGGCCTCTCCATCCAGCAGCCTTCTGTATTCTGCGATCTCCATCTCCAGGCGTGTCTTGATGTCCAGCAGCGCATTGTACTCCTGCCGTTGACGTTCCAAGTCAGCACGGAGCTGCATCAGCTGCTCCTCCAGGCTGGTTACTTGCATCTGGAAGCCAGCAAGCTGCCTACCGTACCGGGCTTCAGTTTCTGCCAGCGTGCCTTCCAGGGATGCTTTCTAAGAGCAGGAGTTACAACACAGAGTGTTAAAGAGAGTGTCTGAGCAGGAGCAAGATGCAGAGCAGAGCAACAGTGCTAGTGGACTTCGTAGAGTGTGACACGCATCCTTACCATGCTTAACTGGGACTGGAGCTCAATTTCAAGACTTTGCAGGGTGCGCTTGACTTCCTTGATTTCACTTTGCGATTGATGCAGAACTTCTGTGCTGGAGGCAACTTCTTTGTTCAGCGTCTCTGTCTGTTGAGTGAATCCAAAAAGCATGACATTTTGAATGTGACTCTTCAAACCACTAATAATAATAATAATAATGACAATAATAGTTTTACCTTAGCATGGAACCAAGATTCCAGTTCTCTTTGGTTCTTGGCTGCCATCACCTCATACTGCTCACGGATTTCTGCCATAACTTTGCTGAGGTCTTCTTGTGGTGCAGCATCCACCTCCACATGCACCTGACCACTCATCTGAGTCCTCAAGGCCAGGAGCTCCTGCAATCACACGTAAAACGGCCTGTTCACTATCTTAGTAGTAACACTCATCTACTTTGTGCTTTTGTGGAAGTCGCAAAAGGCTGTTTATCATCTTAGAGAAATTAAACATTTCAGGGCCAATTCACTGTTCATTTTTCAAATAGCTGTGAACTGTATTAAAATGTAATTTGTAAATCTATAAATAGCATGCCGATCTTTGAAATTTAGCTTAATAATATTAAATAAATAAAAATTTTAATTGATTTTTTAAAATATCTTGGAAAAAATACATGTATAGTTTTTTTCCTGCCTCTTTATGTATTTGCTCATTCTGTTTGGACTCACCTCCTCGTGGTTCTTCTTAAGGAAGATAAGTTCTTCCTTCAGCCCCTCGATCTGCATCTCAAGGTCTGATCTGCTCAATGTCAGCTCATCTAGGACTCTCTTAAGACCAGCAATGTCTGCTTCCACAGACTGCCTCATGGCCAGCTCATTCTCATACCTGAGTATCAGATAAGTCAAATGTAAAAAGCATGCATGTATAAAATCTTTAATAATTAGTACATTACTCTTTTCTAAAATCATAATGCAGCTGCTGTTTTTGTTAAAATGAAACTCACTTCATTCTGAAGTCATCGGCAGCCAGCTTGGCATTGTCAACGCTGAGATAAATGCCTCCATTGACTCGAGTGGCATCCTGGATCTTAAACAAAAGACACGGCAAAGTTATGCTAAAGCAGTACAAAAAAAAAACACTTCACTGTTCAATTATCACTATTGTGTAGTTACGTCCAAACTGCTATTGTTCTTTAGAACATGGTTTACCTTAGTCTGCAGATCTTTTATGGTGGCTTCGTAGGCAGAGGTGTCCCGAGCAGAGGGAGTGGTCTTGCTCTCCAAAAACTGGCGGATCTTCAGCTCAAGGTCAGCATTGGCCTTCTCCAGTGAGCGCACCTTGTCCAGGTAAGTAGCCAGACGGTCATTCAGGTTCTGCATGGTGGCCTTCTCGTTGACGGACACATTCATGCCATCTCCCAGATTGAAGCCACCTGCTCCTCCACCAGAGCTGAAGCCTCCAGAGCTGAAGCCTCCAGAGCTATAGCCCCCAGAGCCATAGCCTCCAGAACCAAAGCTTCCAGAGCTAGAGACGCTGGACATGAGCACCCCACCACCACCAGCACCAACGTGCACGCTGGGAGCTCGTTGGGCAAGGGACCTCATGCCCCCTACACTCATGGATGCCCGTGAGCTTCCCATGGAGGAACCCATGGAGGAACCCATCGAGGACCCAACTGAGGATCTGAAGCTGGAATGCATGGCGATGATGGTTTCAAGAATGGTGCTACTCTGCTCTGGATAGAGAGGAGTGGTTGTGCAGTGGACAGGCAGAGGTGCTGCTTTTAAACTGTAAATTCTGAGGAGGGGTTTCGGTTGGTGGGTGGGCTTGAGCTTAGACAAAAGGGACATTTCAGCCCATGGCCATCTATCAAAGAGGAAAGCTGCAGGGCACTAAGCCTGTCATATGAAGAATGTAAAATCTCACACAAACAACGCCCTGCAAGTCTTTACCGGACCAGCTCTACCCCAAAGCTCTTCACTGTCTATTTTACAAAGGTTATCTGAAAAGAGATCAGAAGTGTCAGGCTCTATCAATCAACAAGCAGAGTGATTGCACAAGTTGTGCAATATGCTTTTAAAATGCTGAGAAAAATACACAAGATTCTTGAATAAAGTCACATACACACACAGACACACATTGTGGGATTGCATTATACTGTCATTCATGAGTGAAGTTTTGAATTTTATGTACAATTCTCCTTTGTTTTACAGTCAGGTGTCATTACTTTTAGGAACACCCTAAAAGAGAGGGTGTTGAATTTTCAAATCTATTAAATTTCGTCTTAACTGCACTCTTTTCTGAAATACATTGTGCACCTAACACATCTGTTTCTACTAATAATGAAGTTTTTTTGCAAAATACTTTTCTTTGTTTCGTGGTTCTCTTCAGTTCAAAAATGTATTTAAATCTGGAACATTCTAACTAGCAAGTCCAAAAAACTATTTCACTGGTTCAAAATTATTTGCATTTGTAAACTCAGTCAATCAAAAGTGAAAAGTAAAATGACTGCCCCACTGGGAATGTGGAAAATATAAAAAAAGTATTGAAAAATATCTGTCATGAAAGGATATAATTTGGATACCTACAGTATTCCTTCAGTATTGTTTAATACGTAAAGCAAGTTGGTGGTCTCAAAGACAGCATATAAAGTAAATAATTCTATTCATTCATTATCAAAGAGTAACCAAAATTTTTACTATTAAAAATACTTCAAATATTTAGCTGACAATTGTCACGCTTAACATTTCTTGCTTAATTATCTGGGTATATGACAACAAATTAACTTCAGAATATTTTACTTATTAACAAAAAAAATGAAAATAATGCAACCTTTTAATAAAACCAGGCTGATCTATGTAGTTAATGTCTACTTTTGAGCCAGCTTTACAACATGTAGCATACCTTCAAGTTATATACACAGAGACTGCACAGTGCTTAGAAAGACAATAATTAAATATTTACAATTGCCTGTAGTCAAAATTATTTACAGAGAGATCTTCCAAGTATAGTTAACAAGTGCAGTGTGGTTATCAACTGAATTATTCCCAGTATGGAAATTTCAATATATGCTCCTGATTCCTTGGCAACTTTGCACAAACAAATTTGTTTGCATAAGTCTGTTTGCTTCAAACGGGAGGGACTTCGTTCCACCGCAGTTACCTCATTGACAGTCTGTCAAGGTTTGTTTTTCTTGTAACTTGCTACTCCAAACATTGTCCTTCTATCACCATAGAAATGATGAGAAAAACTAAAATTTTCCATTTTTTAACTGTAAGCCATTGTATAAGAAATCATACTGGATATATATTTTTAGTAACATCACATTTCACTTGCTCCCTTTTTGTTTTGCAAGCTTTTTTTGTTTAATCATGCTTGAACCATTATCGCAATCAAATATTAAAATTTCATTACTTTCCAAAAACATCTCATACAAACATCTTTAAGTTTGAAAACAGGTTATTTGCACACAAAAGTGATACAAAGCCATAGCTTTTTAATGTATTTGCAATATAACTAATGGTACCAAATTAAGTCTTCAAATTAAGTCTTCACAGTAAGACTACCCTTACAAAGGGTTTATGAATGGTTTAAAATCAGGTTATTAATTAGGTTGTTACACTTTGTAGATCATTAATAGACAGTTATAAACATGTTGTAACAGTTGTTTATTATTCAGTTTGTACAATTTATAAATGGCAGAAGGGATCCTTATTGTGAAATGGTACCATTAGTTTTAACCTAAAATACGGATTTTCTGTGTTTAGTGATACAAAAAGACCCTTCTTTAATCATATATGAAGCATGAACGCTTTAGAATTCAAATGTAGCGTTGCATGTTTCAGGTGTTGTCCCACCAGGTGTTTCAGCTTCACAGCAAAAATATTCGCCACAAGCAAAAACAAGTAACCCCACACGCCCCTTTTTGATGGCTGCCAGTCCTTTGTGCTTCCAGCAAGAACAGAAAAAACTACATGTATTATTTAAAACCAGCAATGCATGTGGGATATTATAAATTTGGTGCCCGTGTTAAACTCCAGAACGGTTTAAATGAAATCATTTTATTTTTAACATTAAACTTAAAGTTGTGCTTCCAGTTCTTCCAGTGGCTGCTTACATTGAAAAGGGCATTTTTATTTGTAAAAAATATAACCCTAAGTTCCTTATTGTACCGATGGAGATTGTCTTCAAAGAAAGGTCTGCTTAAGTTTGATTAGAGTTTATTTGCAATTCAAAGGTAACACAAGATTATTCTGTTCTGGTTAAAAAAGGAGTGTGCATGAAAAAAGGGAGAGTCTCGAGTTTGTCAGAGAAGGCATGTATGGACAAGATATCCTTATGTCATAAACCACAGGCTGAGAGTTGCTGGACCCGATTAGCAAGAACTGCTCATTTTGAAAAAGTATGATTAATCATGTCCAAGAGGGAAAATTTGCAATTGCACTAAAATGTTTATAAAATTAGAGAAACAGAGAAAGACTTTTCATGTTGTCCTATACACTTATAAATGTTTATAGGTTTAAAACACTAAAACACTATATACAGTCAAAGTAAAAAGTATGTGAACCCTTTGGACTTATCTGGTTTTCTGCAGGAATTGGTCATAAAAAGTGATCTGATCTTCATCTAAAGTCACAGGTACTGATACACACAATGAGCTTAAGCCAATAATACACAAAAAATTCTACTCTTTCATGTCTTTATTATACAAACACAATCAACGTTCACAGTGGTGGCGGAAAAAGTACAGTAAGTGAACCTTTGGATTTTTTATTTTTTTTGCCACCCCCCCCCCTGCAGAGGGCTGCTTTATTTATTTATTTATTTATTTATTTATTTATTATTTTTTTATATATATATATTTCCTCCACCACCACCCCTCTGCGGAGGACTGCTTTATTTTTATTTATTTATTCATTTGTTTGTTTTTTGGATTTAATAACTGGTTGACCCTCCTTTGGCAGCAATGGCCTCAACCAGGCGCTTCCTGTAACTGCAGGTCAGACCTGCACGCCATGCAGGGGGAATTTCAGCCCATTCTTCCCTGCAGAACGGCCTTAACTCTTCCATATTCTTTGGTTGTCGTCTGTGTATGGCTCTCTGCAAGTCATTCCACAGCATCTCAATAGGACTGAGATCTGGGCTCTGACTGGGCCACTCCAAAGGCGGATTTTGTTCTTCTGAAACCATTGTGCTGTGGATTTGCTGCGATGTTTGGGGTCATTATCCTGTTCTATCACCCAGCCTCTTCTGAGCTTCAATTGATGGACAGACACCTTCACATTATCCTGGATAATTTGTTGATAAACTTGGGAATTCATTTTCCGCTCAATGATGGCAAGCTGTCCAGGTCCTGACACAGCAAAGCAGGCCCAAATCACGATGTTCCCTTCACTGTATTTTACTGATGTTTTGATGTTGATATGCAGGTGCCCTTTTTACGGCAAATGAATTTCTGCTTGTTCCTCCCAAATAGTTCAATTTTGGTTTCATCACTCCAGAAAACATTTTCCCAGGACCACTGTGAAGAGTCCAAGTGCTCTACTGAAAACTTCAGGTATGCAGCAATGTTCTCTTTGACAGCAGTGGCTTCCTGCTTGGTGTCCTGCTATGGACTCCTTTCTTGTTCAGTGTGTTGCGTTTGTTGAATCATGAACAAATGATTCAACAATCATCTGACACAGACACACACACCTGTCAAAAGTACCATAGTCAAAGGATAATTCCATGTGATTTTATTGTAAAATATGGAAAATGGCAAAAATGAAAAATCCTTATTTTAGTAAGTCTATACTATACATAAATATTTATTAAAATGGCTATTATAATCAAGTTAAGGAAACTGCATTTTCTAATCACTCATCTACCAACTGATACTCTTGGCAGAATATATAATTAAAAAATTATCTTAGCAACATACCAGTTCATACAGTATATATAAAGCTGAAAATTGGGTAGAAAAGTAAACTCAAAATTACTTAACATATTTTCTCTTTTTAAATATTTCAGCAGTAAGTGCTGATGTTTTTATACTACACCATAAATATTGTGCATTACAAATTGGAGACTTATAAAGCATTGAAGAGAACACTTAGAAACACAAGCAATTGGATTTACTGACTTTAAAACGGAATTTGTTGACAAAAGTTTACAAAAAAAAACGACAAATATGCAGGTTAATAACAAAACACACATACATTGTACTGTAAGGATGTTGAGAAAGTAATCCTAAACAATTTAGCCTCAAGTGTTCTGACCTGAGTAGGCCACCAGTACTTGTCTCTGACAGGCTATAATTTTTCCTTAAGGTAGAGGGTACATTTTCCCCTGAAATGTCTGATCCTGCATGGTTTGACTATAAGGCATTTGTCTCAACAAGCCTCATGCATAGGATGGAGAATTAAATTCTTATAATGCGGATTCCAGAGATTTCAGAGGTGTTTCAAAGTTCAGAGGGGAAAAAACAGAATATCAGTATAAAATTATTGTGACTAATAACAAAGTAACAGGGCTGTTCTTGTTACCCCAGTTCCCTGTTGAGCTTTTGGAACAGAACATTCTGTAAACCGGCATGGGAAGTGAGCAAATGGCTTGTGTTACAGGCGGGGGTGTCAAAGGGGCATGTGTACCCTAGCAGATTCAGGGGGCCCAACTCTTGATGGGAACACCTGAATACATGAAATTATACATAGAATTATGGGGGGGGGAAAGCTACGTGACATTTTGCATTTTGTCAAGGAGCCCAGAATTTCTAGGTACGCCCCTGGTTACACTGGCCAAAGTGGTGTAGCATTTCAAGATTCCACGGTGATTGGCACGAAGCACACACGACATCCAATCATATTCCATTATTCT